GAGCTAACCGGCCATCCCTATATAGGGATCCAAACCCGTGGCTTTGGTGTTATCAGCACCATATTCTCCCAACTGAGCCATGGGCTGGCCCTACTCAATATTTGTTGAATAAAAAGTTTCTCCATTTGCTTTCTTCCTTTCATTAAACTGAATGAAACATTCTGAACAAATGATGAAAGATAAAGGCACTTATATCATTGTCGGGAATTAGTTAGTTGTTCCAGTGTTGTTTTATTTCCATCTCTCAAACTAGACTCTAACCAACATGAAGGCAGAGATACCATTACTCATCACATCAGTTTCAAACACAATGCCTCAGAAATATTTGCTGTTGTTGAACCTGTGACTGAATAAATGCAAACCTGATTAGCTAACCAATTTACCTTTAGATTGCAAATTTACTTTTAAAATTTCTCTGTACACAGCTAATTAAAGACAATGGGCATCACATTAAACTGGCAAAAAAAACAAAAATAAATTTATCTGTAATCATCTCAGCATTTGGCACAATGACCCACATTGTGGGGTCCGGGAGCATCCATTACCCTATTCTTTGTTTAACATGGCAAATACTGGTAGAACAAGATAGGTAAGGATGTGTGGGATCTGACCATGAAAATATATCAGCTCTTTGTGGGAGTCATGTCCAATTCCATGGTATCTGGCTCTCAACCCCAGACCCAAAGACTATCCCCAAGTTTTATACCTACTGGCCCACACTTCCACCATTTCGGATTTCTTCCTTCCATGATTTCTCTGGGTGCTGGTTCCTGCAGGGCCATCCTTTGAGAACAGGTGGTTTGGGGTCTCAGCAATGGGAATTGGCTTGCTCTTTCCTCTTCTGCAGCTCCTCCCGCCGCCTTGCTTGCTGTTCACTCATGCAATCCTTGAAGGCCTGCACCTGTGGCTGGCACTGCCGCCAGTCCTGGTGCTGGGCCATGCACTCCTGTACTGCAAAATGGGAGGCAGCACAGCCAGAGCGGGAGATTAGCTGGTCCAGCGGGTCCTCTTCCTCATCTTCTTTCTTCACCTGTCGGGTCCAGGTATGGCCTTGAGGGACTGAGGTTGACATCTTGGGGAGTCTATAGAACATCAATAGTGACAAAGATAAAGTAGGGATATGATTATGTATAAGGTTCCTAAACTGTTATAGCCTATTTGTATGTCTGTCTTCTCTAGGAGATTACATGTTCTTTGCAGATAGATACTGGGCTCGATTTATCTTAGTGCTCCCAGCACTAGACCTGGCAGAGAGTAGGCCTGCAAAATGGTTTGAACTAAACTGAATGAGATAATTGAGAATGCTTAACATAGCACTGAGATAATTGAGATAGTTGAGAATGCTGAACATAGCACTCAATGAGCTCAATGGATTCTACCAATGGAATTTGAATTAAGCAAAATGTCATCTTTTTGGAGAAGCCATCTCTGACCTACCTCAAAAGAATTAAACTTCTCTTTTCCTATTGGCTTTATTCTATGTCTGAAGAACAAAGGTTAACACTTGGAGGAGTACCAAATCTGCATAGGTTATGACACATGGGAGGAATGGAAAGAGTTTAGCGTGGCTGTAGCATAGAGGGTACAGAAACCAGGGGAAGAGATGAGTCTATGAGGTGAGATGGCTTTGTTAACTATACAAACATGGGAGGTGCATTTGCCCAGATCATCTGCTTCAGAGCACCCAGCAGAATGTAGCATCCAGAAGGAACTTAAAAAAGATTTGAAGAGAACTGATTTCAGCCTTTGCATAAATTTCACCATGATGGGCTGTAAAGGAAGTAGAAGGACTCCTTAATGTCTCTCCTGTGTATCTCATTCATTCAACAAATGATTATTGAGTACCTACCATGTACCAGTCACTATGCTAGAGTTGATACAGGAATGACCAAGCCAGATAAGAGTTTCTGCCTTCATGGAGTTTACAATCTAGACAAGTAAACAGGCCACTTACTACACAGTGTGTATAGATAGCTGAGACTGGGAACACAGTGGAGGGATACCTAATCCAGACAAGGGCAGGAACAGACAGGGAAGGCTTCCTGCAGGAAGTGATTTCTAAGCTAAGACTTTAAGGATGAATGGGAATTAGCCAGATGGGAAGAGTATTTCTAGCCAATGGAAGAGCAGAGGGTTGAGACAGAATTTGACATGAGGGTAATCAAAAGTTCAGTATCTGGAGAAGAAGGTATGAGAACAAGACAAGAAAAGAAACTAGCAATGTAAGTGTCTGATCATAGCAAGACTTTGCAAGCCACGTTAAGGAGTTTAAGACTTTAATACTCAGGGGAATGAGTAAGTCATAAGGGATTTAAGCACTCTATAGCTCTACACAAAACTCATTTGCTTTGGAGGCACTATAACTTAAGGGAGGAGGGGGGAAATGGGCTTTGAAGCAGACTTGGCTCGAATACCTAGCTTTGTCACTGCCTCATTGGGTATTCTTAGGCAAGTCACTTAAACTCTCTTGAAAAGTAGAGATGATAGTGTTTGTAAGGAGCCTGGTACGTCCAAAGAGCTCATTAAGTGATAGTTCCTATTACTGTACACGTTTCCTCTTTCTAAATACACTGTGAGCTCTTTAAAGGCCAGGAGCAAATATCTTAGAGCAAGAAAGGTGAAATGGAAAGTGCCTAGATCCTAAGCCAAGAGATCCAGGTTCGAATCCTAGCACCACGCTTTACTACGGAATCTTTTTTTTTTTTTTTTTTTAAAGATGACCGGTAAGGGGATCTTAACCCTTGACTTGGTGTTGTCAGCACCACGCTCAGCCAGTGAGCGAACCGGCCATCCCTATATGGGATCCGAACCCGGGGCCTTGGTGTTATCAGCACCGCACTCTCCCGAGTGAGCCACGGGCCAGCCCATACTATGCAATCTTTTTAGTTTTAGTTTCCTCATCAATAATATCTAACACAGAGATGTGTAATGAGAATTAATATAATGAATGAAAAGTGCTTGGACTACAACAGGACTCAGTACTACTGCACTCTCCCCTCCCCACCTCCTGACTTCAGTCTCCCCTGGAATAAAATGAGAACACCTCTGCTCAGAGATCAGGGCAGGCTACGTAGTTGCCAGCTGGATCGCGGAGGCTGGCCTGAACTAAGAAGGCATGGAAAGGGTGCAAAAACAGAGAAGCCAAGTGGCCAGCCCAGCTGAAGCTCCTCTCCTCATTTAAGGAAAGAACGTATGCGCACATGCGCACATGCGCGCATGCGCACCGCCTGGCGTAATCCCGTCGTTCCGCAACGCCTTCCGCGCAAGGACCGGTTCGCGGTGCTCACCGAACAGATGGGAGATGAGGACCCAAACGTACGCTCCTGTGCGGCGAGAAGCAGTTGGGGCTCTTCCGTCCTTCCTCCCAGGAAGCAGCCCTCGTGGAAACCGCGCACAAGGAAGGGGCGGGGGAACCCACTGCGAATTTTCATTGGTTGCTTTTCGATGTAGATCCCGCCCTCTGCCCTCGCCGCACCCCTTTGGGGGACCACTTCCGGGAAGGGGCGGAAAAGGCGGGCTGGCAGAGGCGGGATCAAGATGGCGGCGCCTTTGAGGATTCAGAGCGATTGGGTCCACGCTCTCAGGTGAATCCAGTCCCAGAACAGGGGCAGAGGAGACGGGTAGCGGATGTTGCCTTTGCGTCAAGGAGAGCCATGTGTGGTCCAGGATGTCCGTAGAGGTTACCTCATCGATTGTCGAGGGAGCTGGAGAGCATAGGGTCTAGAAAAAGAAGTCTCAGTCTCACGTGGTCATTGTTTTCATTCTGTGAACAGCCATCCCGAGGCCAGGGGAACATATATGCGCTGTGTGCTGCGTCAGAACCAGGATCAATGAGCTGGAGAAAGATAGGGAAACTGGGATGCAGGAAGACTCTTGGCCGAGTAGTCGTTTAGCAGATATTTATTGGTCATCAGTGATTTGTAAAAGTCACAGTACTCACCACCACTTTGTGTATGTGATGGAATCTTTGTATCCTTCTAGGCCCCTAGTTTTATATTAGGTATACTGGACGATTCTATTTAGGAAACAATGTAACACCTGCCATGTCCAGGCCCTGTGCTAGAGGCTCAATGGAGCTCAGGTGTGTAGTCTAAGTTTAAATGGTGTTTCCTGCTGTTCAATAAGCTGACGTCTTAGTTGGGAATACCCAGCAAACTATTCGTCCGTTTAACATATATTTGTTGGTCATATACTGTGCCAATTATTTCTCTAGGCATCAGGATGAGTACAGCAGTGCCATAAATGACAACTATGAGTACTAATAAGGGTTTTTCAAGTTGAAACAATGATGAAAATGAATGAAACATAGCCTCCTGCATTGAAGAAATTTACACTGTACGAGGTGGGCTAAAATAAAATACTGATTACTTAGTAGAACACAGAATGTGATAAGTAATGAAGGAAGAACAGGAACATTTATTCAGTGCCATCAAGTACCCATGACAGAATGCAGGATCAGAATCAGAGTACATTACCTGCCCCAAATAATGCTACCTAGAGCTTTCTGTCTTAAAGCTTAGGTCCTTTCCATCACACCATAAAAGTGTTAGCTTGAAGAGATGAAAATTTGGATGATTGGGGAGGTGCATTCACGGGGGCTGGCCAGTTAGCTCAGTTGGTGAGAGTGTGGTACAGGGTTTGATTCCTGTGCTAGCCAGCAGCCAAAAAAAAAAAAGGATACAACATGTAATAAGTCAGTGTGAGGTGTTAGAACACAGACCTGATTGTGTACCAGTCCCAGGTTTCAATTCCTACTTTATAGCTAGGTGACTTTAGGCAAGTCACTTGCCTCTGAGCTTCAGTTTTTTATCTTTAACATGGGGATAATAAAAGGTGTCTTGTTTAGTGTTGTAAGGATTGATGATGCTACATGCAAAATGCCTAGCACAGGGCCTGGTTTACAGTAATCTGGATAAATATCTAAATATAAACAACCTTGGGCTGGCTGGTTAGCTCATTTGGTTAGAGCACAGTGTTACAACACCAAGATCAAGCTGCCAAAAATAAATAAAGTATAAACAACCTTGATTTTTCAAAGTGAATTCCCTATTGATGGAAGTATATGAGTACTAATATAACCAACAGGTATCTATTTATTAACAATAACTATTTCTAGGGCTGGCCCGTGGCTCACTTGGGAGAGTGTGGTGCTGATAACACCAAGGCCCCGGGTTCGGATCCTATATAGGGATGGCCGGTTGGCTCACTGGCTGAGCGTGTTGCTGGTAACACCAAGCCAAGGGTTAAGATCCCCTTACTGGTCATCTTTTAGAAAAAACAAACAAACAAAAAAAACAATAACTATTTCTTCAACAAACAAACCAAGTTTAACTGTCTTAGAATAATCTGTGCCTAGATGGGAGGTTGGATTAGGTCACGTCTAAATACTATTACCAAACTGGGGATTATATGACTTTCTTTCTTCCCTTGTACCTATGGGATCCTATTCAACTTTATGTAAGCCTAATTAAGCTTTTGTTTCTTTTAATAGGAAGGATGAAGGGGAGGCCTGGCTGAGCTGTCACCCCCCAGGTAATGTCCATAAATCTATGTGCCCTCCCTTTATAGAAAAAGGATTTATTACTGCTAGAAGAAAGCTTCCTACTTTCTCCTGGCCCAGCCTCTTGCACAGTGCTCGTAGTCTGCAAACATGCTTGACCAGTCTATGCTATACTGACATCACCTCAACTCTTCCATTCCAGGGGAAGGCCTTCAAATTGGTTTTCCAATTGGAAGCCAGACTTATTGATGGAGACATTGCTGATGCATCTTAATCAGTCCCTTAGAATACAGCAGCCCCTCGTTGTATGCTAAGCAGTTCCAGAACTTCATTTGTGACTTCATGATAATTCCTAGATCTATAGCTCTGGGCTTGACCTCTCTTCAAGTTCAAGCAGAGATTGAACAGTTTGTAGACATGTCTGTTTGAAGGTCTCACTGTCATCTTGAATTACTTGACTTACTAAAGTCCAAAACCAAGCTGAGCACATTTGTTATCAAATGAGTTTTCTTTCTTTTTTCTCATTCTTCTAGGCATAAGAATGAAAAATCTGATTACTTTACCCTGCCATATCCAGATAGTTCCTAAGTCAATTTTTCCTTTGAATGACACTCCTATGTCATTCCCAGCCATTTGGTTCACATTGTAACCAGAGTAGTACCATTCCAAAAACAAATCAACCTTCCTTCTAAATTATATAAGAAAGTTTTATTTTACTGATTATTTTTCATTTCAGATGCCATTGATAGATTTTATTTCTACAAGAAATAAGGTTTTAAAAAGACTTCTTTTGAGGAAATCGATGTTGCATGGATGAAGAGCAGGTGGTAGCTAGAAAATCTCACAGTCAAGGGTCTGGTTTTATTTTTAAAGATAGGAATTAATTGAAGAAAGAGGAATTTAAAAATATAGGGTGAAGACAGAAGAGAAAAGGAAGGTAGAAGTGAAGAAGTCTTAGAAAAAAAAAGTGAAGAAAAGTAAGGTAGAAATGAAGAAAAAGTCTTAGAGGAAGGAGGAGATTGAATTAAGTCTAAGCGACAAGGACGAAAAAGGTGAGGATAAGTGCAGATGTAAATAAATGTATGGATATGAATGTGGAAATTTGAGGATGTCTTATAGCCTCAGTTTTCTTTATGAAGTTGGAGCTAGAGTCACCTCTTAAGTCAGTTCTTAAGGAAGATGGGTTTGTGTTTGTTTTTAAATAATGGCTTTATTGAAATAAACGTGTGTGCTATGTTACTTTACGTACAATATTTCTGTTTCTTAACAACCCTATGAGATAAGTACTATTAGGATTCTAGATTTTTTTTAAAGCAGCTTTATCAAGATATAATACACATACCATCAGGTTCACCTTTGTGAAGTGTACGATTCGATGGATTTTAGTATATTCACAGAGTTGTGCATTATCACCACTATCTAATTCTAGAACATTTTTATCATCCCCCTAAAAAACTCCATACCCATTAGTGGTAACTCCGCATCCTCCAGAGCTGGCAACCATTAACCTACTTCCTGTCTCTATGGATTTTGTGTACTTCGGGCATCTCATATATATGGAATCATAAAGTACTCATATGTGGCCTTTTTGTGTCTGACTTCTTTCATTTCGTAGTGTTTATCAGTACCCCACTTCTTTCTGTGGCCAGGTAATTTTCTCTTGTTTAGATACACCACATTTTATTTATCCATTCATCAATTGATGGACATTTAAATTATTTATACTTTTTGGCTGTTAGGGAGGAAGGAGGTTGTTTTGTTTTTTTGTTTGTCTGTTTTTTTAAAGATGACCGGTAAGGGGATCTTAACCCTTGACTTGGTGTTGTCAGCACCACACTCAGCCAGTGAGCTAACCAGCCATCCCTGTATGGGATCTGAACCCGTGACCTTGGTGTTATCAGCACCACACTCTCCCGAGTGAACCACAGGCCAGCTAGGAAGGAGGTTTTTTTTTTTTTTTTTGTCCTTTTTGAGACCGGCCGCACCGCGCTCAGCCAGTGAGCGCTGTGAGCACACCGGTCATCCCTATATAGGATCCGAACCCGCGGTGGGAGCACTGCTGCGTTCCCAGCACCGCACTCTCCCAAGTGCACCACGGGCTCAGCCCTAGGAAGGAGGTTTTGATGGCAGGATAGGTAGCATGAGAACTGGCTGCTGTGGGGAATGGGAGGAGCAAAGGGACTGCAAAACTTCTGAGTTTGGAAACATGAATTGTAGTGGTGCCAATCTGCACAGGTATGTCCTTTTCTGTAGCAGCACTTAACAGCTTACATATAGGAACATAGAAGGTGAGTGGTTGGATTGATGCCAGTTGTATTATGTATATAGACAAAAAAAGGACTGAGATCATTTTAGTGACTTTATAAATGTAGAAGGGTCATTGAGGGTGCTGACAGGAGATTCACTGAAATGATGTACCATGAAGGCCAGACTTAATAGGGCAGTTGGTGAAGACAGAGGGAATGTTGGAGTGTGACAAAAAGCAAAGCTCTCTCAATCCTATTTTTGTGGCATCTTAATGAAATAGCACTTCATGCCACTTCCCTGTCAAAGGCTTCTTTACTAGATCTTTAGTGCAGATTTTTACCCTGATGGTGATTCTGCTGTGATTTACCCTTCAACTACCTTTTCCATGGCTGCTATAACTAAACTGGTATATTAATTGGTTCCTCTTTCTCCCTTGTTCTTTTTGACTTTCTTTTATTCTTGGCATGGCCCTGCCTGACTTAAAGTTTTCTGTCCCTTATCTTCTTCCTAGGCTAGTCCTATCTTTCTTTCAAGATCCTGCTCAAGTCCTACCCTCTCTAGAAAACTGTCCAACTCGGGCCGGCCCGGTGGCGCACTGCTATAGTGCGCCAATTGGGAAGCGCGGTGGCGCTCCCGCCGAGGGTTCGGATCCCACATACAGACCGGCCGCTCACTGGCTGAGCGAGGGGCGGGGGCAACACCGAGGGTTGCGATCCCGTGGCCGGTCCCGGCCCGGTACGGGTGCGACACTGAGGGTTGTGATCCGTTGCCGGTCACGAAAGAAGACAAAAAGGAAAAAAAAAAAAAAAAGAAAACTGTCCAACTCTTGTGTGAATCCATGATGGTTTCTACTTTCTTCTTACTCCTAGAACTTCACTTTGGTGCAACATTTATTTTACTGAGTAACTTGTAGCACCCTGCTAGTTTCTGCATTTGAGACAGTCTAGTGGGGAAGGCAGACATGTAAACAGTGTGTTATGGGCTGTTAGAGACATGAATATATAAAGTGCAGAAGAAGAATGGAAAGTTTTTAAACTTCATTCTGCCATCTGCATATGTTTTTGTGTAAGATAATATCTTATGTAGCCCATATCACTGCAAGATCAGTATTCTACTTAGGCAAATTTTCCAGATTACTGAAGCTTAATTCTTTATTATGTATTATGTGTATATACTGTGGATAAATACATATACACATGTTGATCTTCACCTTTTATCCTGGAAGAATTACATTTCACAGCCAGTAAAAACAGATTGAGATCACTGTAGCAGCTTTCTCTATAAATTCTAGATCATATTTCTAAATCTTTGTTCCTAGCCCTTAGTCTTTCAGTGTATTCCCTCCCAAATTAGGTTCACCTAGTCAAATGCTCTTTCCACTTCACCTGACTTTTAACACAAGTACCTCTTTTTCTTTCATGGCTAAACCATCTATACAGATGCCTGAATTGAGTGAGTCTTCAAGGAAAAAATATTAAATTCTTATTTTTTGAGATATGCTTCTTTTGTGCTATATAGGAAAACCATCTTTGTATGGCAGCCTTACTTGTCAAGGAATTGGCCTAGATGGCATCCCAGAGGTTACAGCTTCAGAAGGATTTATTGTGAATGAAATAAACAAGGTAGGTTTTTATGTCCTGTAGATGGCATGGTATTCAAAACCATGGTAGTACTCATAAATCTACTATAGATATTTATACTATTACCTGTTTATCTGTGTCACCTCCATTTCATTTGCACAGTAGTCATAGTTTTTGTTGCCTTTGAGTGTCAAGAATTTTCTTTTTCTCGGGCCGGCCCGTGGCTCACTCGGGAGAGTGCGGTGCTGATAACACCAAGGCCACGGGTTCGGATCCCATATAGGGATGGCCGGTTCGCTCACTGGCTGAGCGTGATGCTGACAACACCAAGTCAAGGGTTAAGATCCCCTTACTGGTCATCTTTTTTTAAAAAAAAAGAATTTTCTTTTTCTCTTGTAGTTATATATACTTGTAAATGCAATCAAACTGCCTCTTACTTCCCTTATACCAGCTCTCATAATGCGAGCTGTGAAAGTAATTTGAAGTTTTCTGGTAGCCACACTAAAAAGGTAAAAAAAAAATAGTTGAAATTAATTTTAATGTTATATTTTATTTAACCAGTATATCTAAAATATTATTCCTACCTGTAATTAATATGTAAGAAATTACTAATGAGATATTTTACATTCCTTTTTCTTATTAAGTCTTCCCATGTACATTTTACACATACAGCACATCTCAGTTCAGACTCTAAACTTTTTTTGTAATACTTGATCTGTATTTAGGTTTCATAAAATATATAGTTGACAACATAGCAAGTAGTTTAAAACATACTTAAAAGTTTTCCAATAACTGAATCAAGTATCAGTTTTTAAAATTTAAAGAGGTTGGATGGTTAGCTCAGTTGGTTAGAGCGTGGCCTTGTAACACCAAGATCAAGGGTTCAGATCCCTGTACCAGCCAGCTGTTAAAAAAAAAAAAAGTCATAATTTAGGGGCCGGCCTGTGGCTCACTCTGGAGAGTGTGGTGCTGAAAACACCAAGGCCACAGGTTTGGATCCCTATATAGGGGTGGCCGGTTAGCTCACTTGGGAGTGTGGTTCTGACAACAAGTCAAGGGTTAAGATCCCCTTACTGGTCTTTTTAAAAAAATAATAATAAAATAAAATATGAAATAAAATAAATTTAAAATAAAATATTCAGTTCCTCATTTGCATTGGCCACATTTCAAGTGTTCAATAGCCTAATGTGGCTGGTACCTACCATATTCGATAGCATGGCCTTGCAATCTGTGTCTGACTAGGCCTTTGTGAAGAGCCTACATTAATAATACTCAACAGTTTTTCTCTTTTGGCTTTGAGGTGAGTAGCTGGCTAAGCTAAGTGTTGGAGAACCCATGATCTGCCTTGTCTTACTCATTCTGACTGCTGTAGTCAGTATGCTCTGGCCTGATGATTCTCAAAGGGTTAAACAGCCTTTTATTTTCACATGCATGCACACGTGTGTGTGTAAACTATTTTTAGTTGTAAAATATTTTGTGTATAGTGACAAGAATAGAGAGTACTTTGTTTTTCATGAAAGGTTTTTAGCAAATGTTCACTCATTATCCTTTTTGTGGGGCCCGGCCTGTGGCTCACTCGGGAGAGTGCGGTGCTGATTATCCTTTTTGTGCCGAGTAGAAGGCTACATGTTATTATATATTTTATAATTGTTTTTCATAAGTAGCTATGGTATTGTAGAAAGTGCCATTGATCTGAGTCTAAGTCTTTGTTAACTCTAACACTTATTGACTTTGTGATTTTGGACAAATAACTTAGTTCTCTGAGCCTCAATTTCTTTATCTATAAAATGGAGATAATATTCTACCTCATAGGATGGTTAATGGCAAGTGAGACTGCATATGGATGAAACTAAAATATCACAAAAGTTAGTTATTTTTATGATAACAGTTCTGTGGGATTGGTATTTTTAAATTTCCATTTTGCAGATAAGCAAACAGACTCAGAAAAGTTAATTAATCCCTAATAATCAAAGTCAGGTAGACTGTATGGTGGAATTGAAACCCAGCTCTATTGATTCCAAGTTTACCACCACCTTGCAAGCCTACATTTTTCCCAGGTATTTTGGCAGTATCCATCCATAGCCTGGGTGCTGACTTCTTTCTTCCCTTCATATTCAGGCCAGGATACAATCCTATCTCTTCAAACATCATTGCTAATTTCTGCGTGAACCTGCTGGGTGGGTTCAGACAGTAAGTGCTTATGGTTGAGCATTCATTTGTTTCCTAACTGCCTTGAGTCACTTTGCTATTTGATGTTGCTACATTGTTCTATTAAGCAATAGATTTGTCATTATGCTTAAATGCCTAACCTTGGAAGATTAAAAAAAAGTCTGACTTTGAATTTTATCTTAGTGTGGTATACTCACACTTTTTCCCCTTGGATTTTGTCTGTTTTGATATCTTCTGCCGCTTTTCTTTAAAATATTTTCATTACCAGCATGACTGTCTACTGCTGATATTGGAAGGCAGTTCAATATTTATCTTCCTCCAGAGTCTGTTGATGGATTAAAGATTGACAGGATTGATAAGCAGGAGAAAAGCACCAGTTCTTGAAATCTTTCATATGATTAGCTCCAAAGAAATTAAGTCTTCTGCGAGGAAATCCAATTCTTACGGAGGCCTGAACACTAAGCTTTTGGAGCTCCTTGTATCCTTGATGGTATGAATATTCAGCCAAGAGAATTTAGCTGACACTTTCGTTTCTGGTGCACGAGGCAGTTCCAAATCCAGGTTAGCCCTCTTGCAGCTATGTGGGGGCTTTGCCACACTGTTAGAAGCAAAAACTCATTTAATGAAAGGCCTGCAGGCAGCCAGGCATGGATATGCTGGCTAAGAAAGTGCTGTTTGTATAGATATTCTAATTCTAATTGTCTTTTATTTGTTGTTTGTTTTGGGGGGCTGGCTAGTAAGGGGATCTGAGCCTTTGACCTTGGTTTTATCAACACTGCACTCTAACTAACTGAGCTAACCTGCCACCCTAATTGTCTTTTAAAAGGACTAATCTGTAACAAGAGCATATTGATTTTTGGTGATGAGAATATTATGACTTTGAACCTGTTCCTTCTGATGAACTATGAGGACCTGTTCATGTTTGATACAAAGAGGTTCAGAAAATCTTGATCATTGAAGACATATTCATTGTCCTGCAGAGTTTCCAGAAACTTCAAAGTACTACTGCAGAAGAGATAACAGGTTAGGGGCTCTTTGGAGAGTGCAGCTCCTCAACTTCTCATAGGAGATACATACTTAAGTGGTGATATTAATCTTTTGATCTTCTGCTGATTAGAGTAAGGGACTGTCATATTTGAAGAATCCTTGAGGAAGGGTTTACCAAGCCTTTTATACCTCTACACATGCTAACTTGAAATACCAACATACTTACCTAAATGGTTACCAATGGCCTTTAGTAAGTCCTGTCACCTGAATCTAACATCTGGTTCTAGGTGTACTTTCCTACTATGCCACCAGTGTTATATCTTACTACAGTAGCTGACTACTGCAGTAGCTGTAACACACATGATAATGACTAGGCAAAATGCATGGGGCATTATAATACAGCTGTGTGACAGTTACCAGTCTGTGAACGTCTACATTCAGTTTAAGTCCTAGGTATGAATGATACTGCAAGCCTGACCTGGGCCCATACATTGTATGGTATACTATAATTTACCAATTTTCTCTGGTAACTGTAAATGTTAAGTCTAACATTTTTTCTGAAAGTTCTTATAGGCAGCAAGGGTTTGTTACTGGACAGCTGCCAAAAAAAAGAAAGAAAGAAAAAGATAATGGCATCTGAGTGATACCAAATTACATTGCAGCCCTCTGCAGTAAAAGGAGTGCTGAGCTTTGAAGGAGTGATAGTTTTGTGGGCTGGGGAAGGAGGATTAGAGAAGGTACACTTAGAAGATGAGAATTTCCTGTAGTCCTAATGTTTTCTTTAAGAGGCTTCGTCACATTGGAATAACTTACTGATGGACTTTATCTTTTCCTGTTTAGAAAAGCATTCATATTTCATGTCCAAAGGAAAGTGCATCTTCTAAGTTTTTGGCACCATACACTACTTTTTCCAGAATTCATACAAAGAGTGTAAGTATTTTGATAAGATGAAGAGAAAATGTAATTAGCATATTAATTTTTCATTTTATTTGCTTGCCTAGTGGTATAAACATATTCATAATTAATATGGCTTTCATTATTGTAAGATGATACAGCTGAGGCAGTGTGATATGTTTGGCAAAATTGGTGCTTGGGTCCACATAGAATATGTGTGCAAACATACTGATAATCTTAGAAATTGTGTGTTTTAGCAGAGCTATTTACCAGCTTTTGTGTAATGATATAATGCTGATACTTGCATAATATGCCACTGCTCATATTTTATTCCTTTGCTTACAGGACAGGGACATTTTCTCAAAATTCCAAATATACCATATTGAGGAATAATTTTCAAAGGTCTTTGTAATAAAGTTCTTTTGACTACCATGGGCTTTTTGGAAGCAGAAGTGAGAAATTGGTGGATGAAGTGATTATATTAAAGCTATCCACTTCTTACCGTGTACATTTTTAAAAAGACCTATTTTTTACCCTGATTGCAAAATGAATATACATTTATGATTAAAATTTAAGGGTTCGGCCCATGGCTCACTCGGGAGAGTGCAGTGCTGATGGCATCAAGGCCACGGGTTCAGATCCCATATAGGGATGGCTGGTTAGCTCACTGGGTGAGTGTGGTGCTGACAACACCAAGTCAAGAATTAAGATCCCCTTACCGGTCATCTTAAAAAAAAAAAAGAAAGAAAGAAACTGAAAATTCTGTAACCTAAAGATAACTGTTGTGAGCTTTTGTTATATAGCCTTTATTAATAATAATCGTAGTAAGAGCTAACATTTATTGCCTAATATGAGCCAGTACCATGCTAAACTGCATATTATTATTTTACTTAATTCTCTCAGTCTTTACTTTAAATATTTTACTGAAATAGATTTTTATAGTACGTTCTGTTTTATAACTTGTTTCTTATTACTTAATATCTCCCTTATTTTGTCATCTTTCTATGTATTCTTTCAAGAGCTGCATAGTATTTCATTGTATGGCTTTACTATAATTTATTTTTCCCCTTTTACATTATTGGGCATTTAAGTGTTTCTAGTTTCATGACTTCATATGTTTACGAGTATGCTTGTAGCTAAATTTTTGCTGACAAAGATAGGAAGAAATGAGAATACACTTGTAAAAGTGGAATTGCTGAGTCTTAGGGTTTACAAATGCTAAGGCTTTTGGTATGTTCTAACTGACATCCACTAAACTGCTTTGTGGAGTCAATTGTTACTCTGTATTTCCTCTGTAAAGAATGCTGGCTGATATCCACAGCATGTTGGTGGCTCATAAGATCTTCTCTATCATGTTTGCACACTTCTGCCACTACCGTTTAAGTTAAATGCTTACTGGGAGTTAGTTGTAATGCCAGTTATATTATTTTTGAAATTATGTAAATTGATTAAATATTGTGTTTAACCAATGAAATATGACTGTGAAAAGGCAGAGAGCAATTTCTTTTAAAACTAAGTTGATTGCTTTATAAAGACTTGGTAAAGATGAGTGCCATTAATAGTATATAGGTGAAAGGTAAATGCAAAATGTTAGGGAGAAGATTTTTTTTAAAAAACCCTAGATGGTGGGGCTGATCGGTTAGCGCAGTTGGTTAGAGCGACGTGTTGTAACACCAAGGTCAAGGGTTCAGATCCCTGTACTGGCTAGCTGCCAAACAAAAACAAAAACAAAACCTTAGATGAATTTTTGTTCTTAGATTGCTTTGTAAATGTGAGTAAAGATTTGCATTGCTTTAAAGAAACTGCAATTTGTAAATTGTGCCTTTTGGTTATGGTTTAGGACAAGAAAGACAATATAATAATCAGTGGACTAATGAAATAGTGAATTTTAGTGTACATTTATATATTTAGTGACTAAGGAATAGATCTTTAGCTTTGGACTCTTACCTAGGTTTATATCCTGGCTCTGCTGTGTCACCTTGAGGAATTTACTTAATCACCCCTTGAGCCTCAGATTCCTCATCTAAAAAATGGGAATAATACCTAACTTACAGATTTTTAGGGGATTATATGAGGTAGTGTCTGTTACATGCCTGGCACATAATAGATGTTCTGTAAATATTAGTTCCCTTTCCTCTTTTCCTTTAACAAAAGTTTGGATTAAGGAGATAGCTGGCATAACCTATAATCTATTCTTCAATTCCTATCACTTTGGAAGAAATAAATAGTTCAGGCCTAATTTCTTTTTGGGGCTATTGTATAAGTCCATTTTTGTTGCTTATAACAAAATATATGGAACTGGGCGATTTATAAGAAAACAAAATGTATTGCTTATAATTTCAGATGCTGGGAAGTTCAAAGTCCAGGGAACACATCTGATGTGAGTCTTGGTGGCAACAGTGACCCACGGGTCTCACATGGCAGAAAATGGTGGAGCAGAGAGAGAGCAAGCTCGTCATGCACTCTCCTTTTAAAGCCCCTAGAATCATGCCCATGACCACCATTATTATTCCATTCACAACAGCATGGTGCTATAATCTAATCACCTCTTCAAGGCCCCACCTTTCAATTACCATAATAGGATTTCCCACATCAGCAGTAACAGTGGGAATTAAGCTTCCAACATATGAAATTTGGGGGACACAATTCAGTCAGTCTACAGCAGCTAGGAATTGGGGCCCCGAGAATAAGTAACAAAGGTAAATAACACGATGTCCTTGTCCCCTCCAGGGACAGTATAGTAACTGAGAGGATACAATACTATATATCAGGGCTTCTCAGCCTTGGCACTATTGACATCTTGGACTGGATTCTTTATTGTAGGAGGCTGTTCTATGCCTCATAGAGTATTTAACAGTATCCCTGACCTCTACCTACAAGATGCCAGTAAGACACCCATTTCCCCCCTTCTCCCAGTTATGCCAGCCAAAAACGTTTTTTAGACATTTTCAGGTGTCCTGTAGGGAGCAAATTTGCCTGGGTTGACGAGCACTACAATGTATGAATATAGTGCTGTGGACTAATGAGGGAAGACGTGATGAAATTCTTGGGCGAGTTGGAAAAGCCACTTACCTTTTGAGAAGTAGATCATGTTTTAAAAAATCATTAACTGTGCCCCTTTTCTGTGTCTTATTCTCCCTTTCCCTTATTTGAGCTTATTAAGAAATGATTCATACACTTATTAATCAACTACTATATTCCAGGTACTCTCCTGGGCACCAAGTCTATAGCAATGAATGAAACTAATGACTGGCTGTGAGATATGAGATAAAATGAGTTGGGATAATTCTAGAAATTTTGGCCTGAGGACCGGCCCAGTGGCGCACTGCTACAGTGCGCTGCTTGAGAAGGGCGGCGGCGCTCCCGCCGAGGGTTCGGATCCCACATGCAGACCGGCCGCTCACTGGCTGAGCGAGGAGCGGGGGCAACACCGAGGGTTGCGATCCCGTTGCCGGTCCCGGTCTGGTACGGGCGCGACACTGAGGGTTGCGATCCGTTGCCGGTCACTAAAAAAGACAAAAAAAAAAAAAAAAAAGAAATTTTGGCCTGAGAAATGAGTGAACTGTGATGCCATTTACTAATTGGAGGAGCAGCAGTTGTATTGGTATGGAGTAGGGAGAAATAAGAGGTCTGTTTGAACATGTTAAATTTGAGGTGTTTGCTGCAGCAAAAGTAGATGCCTAGCAGGCAGTTGGATAGATGCCACCTGAATCAGGAAAGAGGTTGAAGTAGGTTGCTTACAATGGAAAAATCCACAATTAACAGATACTGTATTCTGAAGAACCAAAATGAAGAAGAAAAGTCTTAGAAAATGTTAGTATTGGCCCATATATCCCTATAGTTTTTGCCAAACTTATTTTAATTGGCATAGAACAAAGTAAAATGAAAGGTTGGATAAAGCCAAGGTCTTTAATTTTTCCTTAGTGATTTAAGTCATGTGGGAATTGTTGTTGCTGGGAATATGTTAGGGATTATATATCTCAGTCCCACATTTCTAGAAATTTTCAATTGTTTTTTAATAAAAAAGGTATGTATATGAAAGCGACTTGGCATTCTGATCATGGCTTATGAATGAAGCAATTGCTGATGGTGACACTGCAAAAGTGAATCTGAGAATTCTCTATTCCATATTCTGAAAGATCTGTATCTATACCTATATATAGATATATATGGAAGTATATTTGCTCTTCTTTGAATCTTCTGGTGCATCTTGGAAGCTGTTTTGTTTTTTTTTAAACAAAGTGCTACAAGTTTATTAATGTAACATATCCTAGTATGTATCAAAGTTTCAAGAAGGTCATTTTGAATCTCAAATAAGAAATCATAACATTCAGTATTAATTAAAAAGGAAAATAAAAGATGGTGGTGATGATTTATGGGCTTTAGTCCACAATGAAAATACAAAAAACAGTGTTTATTTTGGTGGTCTGTGTTGATGCCATATTTCTCCTTGAGAAGCTTCAGCTGTTCCTCCTCCTTTTCTGTATTCAACTTCTGAAATGCCTTGTTGGCATTATAGTACAAAACCACAAGGTATCTGTTACAAACATTGAATTCTGATAGGTGATCCCATGAGTTCTTGGCAACAAAAATGTCTTCATAGACTACATAAGCTGTTCCTCTAATTTCTGGTGTGTTCCCCACTCTGAATTGATTAATAGGTCCATACTTCTCAAATACACCATACATTTGTTCAGCTGCGATTTTGTATGGTAAATTTCTTATATACAAAATCTGATCTACTTCTGGTGGAAGGCAAATGAATGTTTGTCCTCTTGGCCACTCACGTCGCCATCTTGGCAGGCTGACAAGGTTACAGCAACAAATACTGGAATTCCTCTGGACACCTGCGGAGCTCTCTCGGCTTTGAGTACAACACCACATATCAGTTGCAAGGCATCAATATCGAGGCTCCACTCAAAGCTGTTTCAGCACTGCCGGAACAATCCCGTCTCATGCCAAGATGTGCTGACATATATCCCCTTTCAAAAAGACTCCCAGTGCAAAAGGAGCCTGGAAGATTATCTTTTGTGTAAGTGGGTTCTGAAGAATTAGGAGAGGTATGTTAATTTTAAAATAAAATAGCAAAAGATGGAAACTCTGGACATGATATGGAGATAGGGAAAATTTTTTAGCTGAAACAGAAAACTACAAATGATTGATTACAGGAATATCTTTTTGTTTAGAGAAATAGAAGCTTTTGGCTCCAACCTAATGGGGAGGTTGTTGATGATACTTCAGCATTCATATCAAACACATGTCTTTTGTGTTGGGAATCATAGGCTTGAATATGTTTTGGAGGAGTGTGAAACAAGGGAGGTTTATAACGTATCTCAAGGGAATTTCATTATTTGTAACATTGATTGTTTTATCTTTTGAACAGATAACATGCCTGGATATTTCCAGTGGAGGAGGTCTTGGTGTGTCTTCTAGTACTGATGGGAGCATGAAGATCTGGCAGGCTTCCAATGGAGAACTCAGAGTAAAGGAATTGGATACATTTTTAGGGTCTGATACATGAAGGGTGGTCTGACAAATCTTGTACTGGGTAATGGAAGGAAGAGTGAGCCATTCTAAAAATGTAGGACAACTGCTGATCAGCTGATCTCTGTTCTCCCATTTGTTAATTGGAGAACCATTCTCAAGCTTAGTGATTTGCCACTACAGAGTGGGGCTGGAGCAGTTGAGGAGCCCAGCAAGTGAATGTCTAAGTGGGTGGGCCCTCGGTTTGAACTGCCTTCAGTGATTGGTTTCCAAGACTAGAGTAGCTAGGCTGTTAGATTGAACATACTGAGCTTCCAACTATACAGAGTTCCCAAGCCTTGGCAGCCTCTTTTACTTTGAACTAGACCTAGGGATGGTTGTGAGAGCCATGGAATTCAGTTCCACAACATCTGTAGTTAAATCCCAAGAAAGGGAGCCAACAGCTCTTGGAACACTACATGGTGACAAACAAGCTAAAGAGATCCTTTGGACATTCTTACTGTTAAATTCCAACATGCAGATGTAGCATGTAGGTATTTCATTTAAAGGATGAAAGATATAGGAGGTAAGAGAACATCAAGGGATGGACAAGACAACTAGCTTGGAATTTTCTTTTGTTTTTCCAGAGAGTATTGGAAGGACATGTATTTGATGTGAATTGTTGCAGGTTTTTCCCATCAGGCCTTGTGGTTCTGAGTGGGGGAATGGATGCGCAGCTGAAGATCTGGTCAGCTGAAGATGCTAGCTGTGTGGTGACCTTCAAAGGTCACAAAGGAGGTATGTAGGGCGATTTTTCCAAAAAGCTTCTCTAATGATTCATAGAGACAAATCACTGAAAAAATAGAGAGAAAAGCTCATTATTCACAAACACAAATAATTCATCCAATTTGCCATTTAGATGAGCTGCTATTCCCCAAGAACTAGTCTTGTTATTGCTATCTAAAACTGTCTTACACAGATAGTTGTATTCCACAATTAAAAAGGGGGAAAAAAATCCACACCAGGAGATCATTTACTTGTGTATGGCGGGCGGGGGGAGGAAGAAAGAGAGAGAGGTGTACCCACATTTTCTCCTTGTTATTCTTTTGGCAGAGGTGACAGTAAAAGCTGGGTAACAAATGGCTGTATCACCAAACATCAAAGATACCATTGATTCCCATGGATTTAAATTACAGTTGAAATTTTAAAAGTGCTTTAGCCATATAACCAGTTAATACTGGTTGAGCATCCATAATCTGAAAATCCAAAGTCCAAAATGCTCCATTGAGCAAGCATTTCCTCTGAGCATCATGTCAGCACTCAAAAAATTGGATTTTGGAGCATTCCAAATTTTGGATTTTCAATTTAGAGGTGCTCAATCTGAATCTCATTGTAGAGACAGTGAGAACATCTTCCCTTTCTAATTGATTGATTTGTTGGAAAAAGGTGTATCATTTAGAGATGTTTTATCCTTAATTGGAATATTAAAAAAGTGATAAATATGTTAGTCTTATTTTACAAGTTTGGATTTTTTTTTTTTTTTGAAAGATGACCGGTAAGGGGATCTCAACCCTTGGCTTGGTGTTGTCAGCACCACGCTCAGCCAGTGAGCGAACCGGCCACCCCTATATGGGATCCGAACCCGTGGCCTTGGTGTTATCAGCACCGCACTCTACCGAGTGAGCCACAGGCCGGCCCTAGTTTGGATATTTTTAAAAATGTAATAACATCTCCAAATAGTTTGTTTTGATCCCTCTTTTGGAACCATAATACACATTGTCTGATAACTCATTTGGGAACTAATTATGTATTGCTTTTGGTATTTAAGCCAGTGTTTTTGCCCGTGAACCCCACTGAATTGTCTTTTTTTTTTTTTTTTTTTTTTTTAAAGATGACCGGTAAGGGGATCTCAACCCTTGGCTTGGTGTTGTCAGCACCACGCTCAGCCAGTGAGCAAACCGGCCATCCCTATATAGGATCCGAACCCATGGCCTTGGTGTTATTAGCACCGCACTCTACCGAGTGAGCCACGGGCCGGCCCTAACCCCACTGAATTGTAAGTTGTGTGTAGAGATCAAGATTTAAGTTTTAATATTTCTTTCTCTTTTTTTTTTGGTGGCTGGCCAATATGGGAATTTGAACTCTTGACCTTGGTGTTACCAGCACCATGCTCTCCCAAGTGAGCTAACCAGCCAGCCCTAATATTTCTTTATGATGGTTTGTCAGATTACATGCAGATGATTTAGCAAACACATGTGTTAACCCTAGCAAATAAATGGTTTACTTCCAAGACTAAAAGTACATGGGTACATTGAGAAGGAATAGAAACAATATGCAGAGTCTTCCTCACATTTAGCCTGAAGAACTGAAAAGTCTAAGAAGTCAGAGTGGCCTGCAAAGTTGAGGAGTTCAGGAGCCAAAAGAGTCTAGAAAAACTCTGAGGGATTCACCTCAGATCTGGCCATTGCCTGAATATTTAGGGTACAGGGAAACTTTTCAGTGGAATAAGGCATGACTGTACGCGTTGAACTTAACAAGGTATATATTCAACATCAATGCACACTCAGTTTATGAATACCTTTGGACCACTGCAGTTGATGAGTGTGCCTGCCACAGGAATCCTCGGTGAGTCTCCCAACATTCTTCAGTTCTCCACAAGAATGTGTGTCCTTTAGCTTAGAGTGAATAACAGAATGTTTACTAATATGATTAAAGCTTTTATTCATATAGTTTTTCTGTTCTTTTGGCCTTGTGAGAAAGTGCTGGGGTGGGGGTAAGGTGCTTCTGTAGAGTATAACAACCCTGACTTTTTTTTCCTTGAGAGGAGGGTTTTTAATAGATTGAATGAAATGATACCCTACAGGAGAAATGACATGAGGTCAGATCCAAGCTGATGTCTGTCAGGTCTTGAATGCTCCTTTCCACTTAGTTCTGTAAAGTAGCCCTTGCTTTGGGGTTGCCCATTCTTTCACAACAGAGATCAAAAATCATTATCGGGCCGGCCCGGTGGCGCACTGCTACAGTGCGCCGCTTGGGAGCGCGGTGGTGCTCCCGCCGAGGGTTCGGATCACACATACAGACCGGCCGCTCACTGGCTGAGCGAGGTGCAGGCGGAGCACCGAGGGTTGCGATCCCGTTGCCGGTCACGAAAAAAGACGAAAAGGAAAAAAAAAAAATCATTATCAATCTCTAATAGCTTAACAGCATATGAGTTACCCTCCAGCCAAGTGACTTCCAAATTGCTTTGTATGGCTCCTTTTATTATTCTTGAGTTATGAGATGTTGAAGCATTTTATTAGCCAAAGCCATGAACCATATAAAAAAGTAGAATAAAGAATTGCACCTGCATTTTTTATTTTTAATGGTTTCACAAGTGGTGACTAAGAAGCAGAAAATAGTGTTGAAAGCAAACATGGTCCTTTATTACTAAGGTAGGTCTCTGGCAAGCAAAATATAAAAGAAAATACAAGGAAGACTGGACTGAACATAGCCTGATGCTTATTGCAGAAAACCATTAGGAGAATAATGAAGTAGCTATGTACGGAGGTCTGTTGGGAATGGTAACCTTTTGTCAGTTTAATTAATCCTCTGACTTGCTTCTGCTTCTAGTAGATGAACACGTGATAGAAAGGGAGGCAGTGCAATAGAGTGGTTAAACATGGGATTTGGAGACAGGCAAATCTTGCTTTAAATCATAACTCTGCCACTTACAGATTGTGGCCTTGGAAAATGGCTTAACTTTTCTGAGCCTTAATTTCCTCATATGTAAATGGGGATAGTAGTATTAAATGAGATAGTACATATTAAGGATTTAGCACAATCCTTGGTATAGAGTAAGTACTCAATAAGTGTTATTATTTGTATAAGACATAATCTAAGCTTTAATCCCTGCCAGGAAATGTAAGCCTTACAATATTTTTTTTTGGTGGCTGGTTGGTATGGGGATCTGAACCCTTGACCTTGGTGTTATGACACTGCACTTTAAACAACTGAGCTAACTGGCCAGCCCTATAATGTTTTAATGTACTTGCCAAATGTGAAAGCAGAAATTGTTATTTCTAATAGAATAAACATTTCCAATAGAAACAAATATGATCCTAGTTAATACATGTTTGGTCCCCCAAATACTTTATATATATTCTTTAAATGTATATAAATTGATCCCCCAATGGTATATATTTATATTTTTAATATATAATTAATGAATTAGTGTGTTCCTTACTTAATAAGGAGAGGCAAGGTTTCTGTGTGTTTTATGAATCTTTCAAATGGAAAGATAAACTAAAAGTGTTTTTGTGTTTGTAATATATGAATTTAATAAGTAGCTCTAAAGTGAATTTTAATCAGTTTGAAGTTTAATTGCCCAGGCTGTTTAATTAAGGTTAGTGAATTTGGGGGTATACATTTATAATCCTAGTTTGTGTAATAAGCATTACATCTTTCATAATCAATGAAACATTGGGACCAAGTGAAACCCCATTTCAGTTGACTAGTTGGTTGAGTTTTTCTGCTCACCAGGGTAGTAGAAATACTTATATTTGTAGAATAATTTTAAGAAACCAAGCTGCATTTTCATCACTTGGGCTATTATTTTCAATCTCTTAGGT